TGGCAAACAATAGACAATAACTGTGAAGGGGGGGGTGCCTCCTGGGTGGCTCAGTCGGTTAAGTGACTGCCTTTGGCTCAGGTCATGATCTCAGGCTCCTGGGATGGAGTCCCACATCGGGCTCCCTGCTCAGCTGGGAGTCTGCTTCTCCCTCTGCCCCTCCTCTTCTCATGGTCTCTCTCAAATAAATAAATAAAATCTTAAAAAAAAAAATCTAGACACATTTCTATCTGCTTATCAAAAGAGTGACTGTGAAGAAGATATGCTCCAAGAAACAAGCTAACAGAAGAATTCAGACTTTTGTTATAATAATTTATCTGTTCTTTGTCTCGGATTCCTGGCAAAGAGCTTCAAAAACCCTTGGAATTTCCTGAGTGATAGAAGTGTCTTCGTTACGTCAAAGAGGTGACTTAAGGTGGGCCCCAAGACCTCACTGATGGGGCTGCTCACTAAAAAGACCAATCACAGGATCAGAGGACTGAGATTTTGGGCCAGCCCAATCTACAGTGAGTGGAGGGGAACTAGAGATTGGGTTCAATTACACAGTGATTTAATCAATCATGCTGATGTAATTAAGCCCAATAAAAACTCTAGCCCCAGAGGCCTGGTGTTGCATCTTGATTGGTGAACACAGTGACGTGCTGGGAGGCGACACAGCCAGATGCCACAAAATGAGGGCATGGAAGCAGTGTGTCCCCTTCTCCACTCTAGATGTTGCCCTACGAATCTCTTCAATTCCTGATCTGCATCCTTTATAATAAAACTGTAATCCTAAGTACAGTGGTTTCAGTTAGTTCTGAGTCGTTCTACCAAATTATCACAACTGAGGGGTTGTGGGAAGCCTCAAATTTGTAGCAGGCTAGACCAGAGTGTGGGTGGACTGGGTCACTGAAACTTGCCCTGCACAGTAAAGTAGGTCAGTCTTTGAAGGACTTTGCTCTTAACTTGCTGGGTCTTTCCTAACTCCAGGTAACTAGTATCAGAACTGAACTGTAGGACACCCCGTTATGGTACAAAATTAGTGTCAGAACAGTGACTTCAGAGAGACCTTAATGGTTTTGTTATTTTTTTAAAGGGGAAGGAGACAAGTTCTTATTCTTAAAGCAAGTATTTTCCTGTATTAGACTGGCTATCTCATTTCCTGAGGACACTGAAACCAGGCTCACATTTACTCTCCCAGCCCAGCTCCTGTAAGGGGTCTCTTGGGTGACTCTAACGTTTACGTAGAGAACACATTCAACCACCTCATCTGTCTTCTCACTCACCTTCACCTCAATCCTACACCTCCTGTAAGTTCCCTTTCCTAACTCTCAGAGGCCTCCAACTCAAATGTCCCTTAGAGACAGATACCCTGCTTGAACATCTGAACCAGGCCAGGTACAGCAAAGTACAGGAAACGGAGGACTGAGGGGAGCTGAAGAATGCATAGCCCAGCCAAGGTCAGGGGTGGGGGGGGGCGAGGGGGCCTGCCACTACTGAGACATAGCCATTGATATCAGCCAGGAAATGTGGATTAACTGTTGCCAGATGTTCTGATTTTTATTCTAAAGAAAAGCAGACTTCTAAACTCTTATGTGAAATCTCCAGATTTTTAAACTTAAGCAATTAATTTTTTAAAAACAGAAGAGATTACAAATGGTCCCAGATAAACCAAAGGCTAAGGGCTCTTAATCACTACTTTATTTATTTTTTTAAAAAGATATTTATTTGTTTGGCAGACAGAGACACAGCAAGAGAGGGAACACAAGCAGGGGGAGTGGGAGAGGGAGAAGCAGGCTTCCCGCGGAGCAGGGAGCCCGATGCGGGGGGCTCATCCTGAGCCAAAGGCAGACGCTTAACGACTGAGCCACCCAGGCGCCCCTAGTCATTACTGTAAATACTGCAGCTCCTCGGGGCGGTCCTAGGCCCTCCTTTCTCACTCTGTCCTCCTTCCTTAGGGGAGCACCATCCATCACACGATGACAGATATACAGACGGTTCGTAAATTTATAATCTTTTTTTTTTTTTAATAGTACAGTGGAAGAGTTCACACATAACTGATAAAGAGAAGAATACCAGGACAATATGGAAACTGTGCGAGTCCATACACGATTTTTCAAAGCACATTCATGTTCTGAAGCACCAAGTCAACAGTGGAAGAGAATATATTCACACAAACGAGATGGAGTAAACCATGGAGCAACGCACTTCTCTTCACAGTGCCCGTTCATCATTCATCCCATATCCCTCTTCTGGGCTCCAGCTGGTCAGAGATTTTCCGGCGAGTACTTATCCTGTGCTCCGCCAGGCTCCATGCAAAAAACCAAACAAGGACAATAACCCAGAACCAGCTATATGTGGCATCACTTCATTTATTTGCCAATTTTTGTGTCTCCAGCTGGGCAGTTTCAACCCTTCTTTATAGTCCCTTCTATCAAGTTACTTTTATCTTTTCCTGAAAAGTTAAAGCCTATGTTCAATATTGGAGTATCTATTTATTAAACAACTTAACTTGTCTTTTTAACTGCTGCTGGCACTTTCTAGAATTATTTTTCTTGGTGCTCTGGTTACAAAGTTGCATACATTTGGCGAATCTGCTCCCAGCTTTGTCTTTTCCAGAAGGCTCTTTATTTTCAGTGAATGATACTGACAGTGTCTCAAAACCTCATAGTGAAATGCCCCTATCTCCAGCCAAAACATCTTTATTGAGCTCCAGAACTAGATCTCCAACTGCCTGCTCAGTATCTCCACTTGAATGTTCTAAAAGCATCCCAAAGGTTACGCAGATTAAAAGTAAAAACTGTGCTCTCCTCAAATGTGTGCCTCCTCCCGGCTGGCACCAGACTCTCCAGTGTGCCTGCACAAGTCGGCCAGCATGCTCACCCAAGTGCCACCGTTTCCTCCAGACAGACCACTGCGCCACCTACAAACCAGTCTCCCTATAGCTATTTTTCTCCTCTACAGGGCAGTGTTCACACATGGGCCAGAATGCTCTTTTAAAAAAGCAAATCTAAAATCAACACCCCTCTGTCCCTTGCCTAAGCCTAGTATAAAACCTCAACTCTCTGGACACGGTCTGGCTTTATTTGCCGCAACTCTGGAGCCATTCTGTGTCCCTGTCCGACCACAGTGACCCCGCCGCAGAGTCTAACATCCAAGCTCTTCGTCCAGGACCTTCAACTGTGCTCTTTACTGAAACCTCAGCTTGAGAAGCCAGGGGCTTCTCATCCTTCAACTTTTTGTCCTTGGGCCATAACTAATAACTTTATCTAAATAGGTGTCCCCCTCCCCTCATGATCCATCTCGACACTGTTAAATTAACTTGATGGCGTTTTTCCTCAATTATGCCTTTATCTGTCTGCTTGCTATGCTACTGTGTGTCTTCCTTCACTAAAGCTGAAGGTTAATGAGGCCTGCCATCATGTCTTTACTATATGCCAGTGACTAGAATAGCAACATGTTTTAGAATTTAATAAATAAAGGAAGGATTGAATGAATGAATGAATAAATGAGTAAGTGGAATCCCATTTTCCCAGCTAACTGCTGCTCATCCTTCAGGTAACAAACAGTTTAGAGTCACTTTCTCAAGGATGGCTTGCTGAGTTAGGCCCCCATCCCACACTCTCACAGACCCTGTTCTTATTCTTTTTTTTTAATATCCCTTTATCGATTTTTAATGACATTTAACATGTAAGTTTTTTTATTACCCCTCTCCTCCACTGTAAGTTGCACGAGAACAATGAACTTGCGTGCCTTATTCCCTAAGATATCACAAGGGCCCACAAAGTAGAATGCCTGGCAGACAGATATTCAACAACTGTTGTTGATTAAATATTTATCAAGTATTTATTGAATGAATCTAATTATAAGTTTAGGAATTTTTTTCCTCTTTATTACATTGTTAAAAACTAAAGAATGCTCAGTTTCTCAACCACAATGGCTTTTAGTTTTTAAAAGTTCATGAATAATGAACATCAGGAGCAAAAACTTAACTCTGAGGGGTTTATCATTTCCTCTCAAGCACAAGTTTTTAATCTTTGGGGGAAAACTACTACCAATTAACACCTGTGTACTTACTATGTGCAAATCCCTTCGTAAACACTATAATCTCATTACTTGTCATGATTACCTTATTATTACCATTTTACAGGAATGGATATAGAGGCTTAAAGAATTTACTTAGAGAATCTGATGGAATGTATGGGTTTTCTCCTGAAAAACACACACTAGCATACATACAATTTTATTTATAACAAGAGAGGTTCTATGGACTCCCTAGGGTTAATTTACAAACCCCCAGAGTTGAGATCTCTGATAAAGAACTTCTGATTAGAAATGCCTTCTACACGATTGGGCAATGCTTCCTGTTTCTTGTTTGCTATCTTTGTTTCACTTCTTAAGACACTTTATAGATGTTACAAATGTATTTATTATCTAGATTTGCTTCATGTCATTTTATATACATTTGAAGCAGCTATTATGAAGATATCTAGAGATAACTGCAGAATGAAGTCCCTCTGAATATTGTTACCTTTTATGAAGCTGATAATTTTGAATGCTTAGATTTTTATTATGAGACATACAGGGTTAACAACATTTCTTCCTATAACATAAAATAACTTATAATTATTAGATTAGCATATACTAAAAATCCTGCACAGCTACTAACAGATATCTATGAGCCATTTATCACTGAAGAAACTGTGTAATGGCTTTTCTGCATAAGAATCATTTTTCCTGGTTTCCAAAAGTTTAGTGTTGTTTTTTTTTTTTTTTAGTGTTGTTTTTATAATCTCTCTTCTCAATATTCAAAATTATTGCAAAAACATGCCTTATCTTACTTCTCACATCTATTGAAAATGAGAACTTTGAAGACAACATTTCACATTTATAAAAACAAAAACAAACCAGAAACCAGTAGATCTATTAAAGTTTCACATACATGTATCAGGCAACCTGTAGGCAAAATAGCCTTCTTTTTGCACACAAATAACAAGGAAACGAAGAAATCACCGCCTTACCTGTCATGGTCTGTACCGCCCTTTCGCTGGAAGGCAGTGGCTCCTTCCTGTGAGGCCGAGTTAGTGCAGTGTCCTGTGCAGAGAACAGTCCAGGACTGTCAGTTAGTTTCTTCCGGCCACTGGAGTTAGGGTTTGAAACTCTGCAGCTGCCTTGCACTTTTGCACTTGTGAAAAGGTTTGTGTGCTCGTCACTGCTAGCCGGATCAGAGGTGGGAGTGAATCCTCCGAGGGATGAACCCGGAGAACTCTCCGAACAGTCAATCTGTAAAGGTGTTTGCAATCCCAAAGCCAGTGGACTAGATTCTGAAGGCTCCCGGTGGACCCACTGTTCTTCTCTGTTTATTAAGCTTTTGGAAGGGGAGAGATGAGGGCAGGACATATGACATCGGTGCTTTTCCTTATGTTTATATCGCTCCCCAACAGTCTCCTTTCCAAATCGATAGCGCTTCAAAGACTCCAAAACCGACCTGGAAGAGCCGGTGTCCATGGAAACCTGGGGCTGCTCAGAGCGGTGTTCTCTGTGCTTGTGCCGGTGCCTGTGTTTGTGCTCGACCATCCACCCATAGGCCATCTCAGGAGGGACACTAGGGTAGGTGCTCATGGACAGGAGGGGAGTCCTGCTGGTCGTGAGAAAGGCCTCCTGCCGAAGTAGCTTATGCTTTTTCTTGTGGTATTTGGTGGGGTTGAGAAGTAAATGCCCAGCATGCATATAGGAAGGAGGTGGAAGTGGGGGGGTGAAAGAAGGAGAAGGGGGAGGAGGGTAGAGAGTGGGAGGGTACCTTCCGTAGTAACCTAATCCTAGGGGAGTGGCTGTGAGGGGCGAGGGAGAATAAGGCATGCCATAGGAGGGATAGAACCCAGTACTAGAAAGAGGAAAACTAAGGCTATGCATGAAGGGCATCTCAGCCATTGCCTCCCTCATCTTAGGAGGTCTCCCTCTCTTCTTTTTTAAGTCAGGTTTTCGAATGTAGTGCAAAGGGTCTAAGGGGAAAGAAGGATGTGTATAGAAACTATTAAAGTTGATTCGAAAAATAGTTGGCAGCAAGTCTCGGGGGATAAAATGATGACTTCGATGGGTGATTCGAATTTCACTCAGACGACTTATCAATTCCTCCAGATCTGCAATGAAGTCCGGATCTTGTCTGCTTCGGAGCTGGGGGTATTTCTTTTTCCGTTTTCGTTTCTGCCTTTTCATCTTGTCATAGCTGAGGTAATCGTGATTCCTGCGCTTACATTTATGTTTATGTTTTTCTTTAAGACTGCTCAGGACTGTAGAGGTTTCAGGGGGTATCAGAGAAACATGTTCAAAAGAATGCCTCCTCTTTTTCTGCCCACAAAATTTCTCTGCTCTGTCTGATGTGCTGTTATTATCTGTTCCAATTCCACTATCGCTGGGAATGGTCTCATCACTATGAGATTCACTAATGGGAGAAGGAGTAGCTTCTTTCAGAGAGGTGAGTTCACTCAAGTGTGAAGGAGAATTTGGCAACAAAGTAGGAGGAGAGAGTCGCCTCCTCCCCTTTGAGGCCTTCTTCATTGCAAGAGTCTGAATCATGCTGCCCTGTCTGGAGTGTAAATGCAAATACGGCACTGAACTGGGTTCAACAAAGCCTGCATCACTACTTACAGGGCTCTGACCTCCACTAGTCCCAGAAGACTGAGAGCAAATAGGTGATGGAAGAATCTCAGAACTACTAGCAGAGGAAGGCAGTAAAGGGGGAAGTATCTGTCCTAATGCTGAACCAGCTGCCTGCTGAGCGGTTTGCTCAAGGACAGCTAGGCTGGTAGGGCTACCAGAAAGAATGCCATTTAAGACAGTTTTTGGTTTTCGACCCCTTCTCTTTCCTATGTAAATGGTTCCTTTCTTGCTGACATTTATCTGTTGGCCCAATTTAGAGCCAAATGTGGCAGCAAGACTTGACACTGTATTATGGAGTTTGGATTGCACTTTCCCTTTATTACTTGATTCCACAGAGCTTGAAAGAATCTGATTCAACAGTTTCTTCCTCTTTAAAGTCTTCATTTTATTTATTTTGCGGATAATTGTTTTCATTAACTGTCCATTGTTTCTCTTGGAAATTTTTTTATCTGGTTCCATCTCAAGGTCACTCATGCTGCAGACAGCTGGCCTATGACTGTCGTCCAGATCATCTGGGTCCTGAAGCTGATCCTCACTCTCAAAGAAATCACTGCTGCTTCGATGGTTGTCACTTTCAGACTCCAGCTTGCTTGGACTCTCAGTGGCAACAAACGGAGCCACTGATAGTACAGGTGGCTTCATCTTGACCGGTGACCTCATCTGCCTCTTAGGTCTGCCTCGTTTTTTCGGAAAGGGAGACACAGAAAGGCTTTGTTTGAAGGAAGGAATTTCAATTTCTGGCTGTAAAATTGGGGGTTCTTGTTCTTCCTTAGACTGCAAAGAAAAAACTTTAGAGGCAGGTATTTTTAAAGTCCTTTTAGGTGGACCTTCCAGTTGAGGCATCTCCTTAGCTTTAGGTCTTCCTCTTTTGGGCTTATAAATATCAGACAAAAGGTCACTAGAGACACACATACTGGAGGATAGTTTGTGAGGAGCAAAAGCCTTGTGAGACGGTTTTTCACTATCAGTTAAGAGAGCAAGAGATGGAGTTGTGGACTTGCTCAACTTTGGCAATCGACGTTTAAGGAAGTCATGATCTACAAATGAAGATGGTCCAATGTTTTTCATAAACTTGGCTGGCTCGGAATTACTATTTGATAGTGAGCTACATGAAACATTTTTAAAAAGCTCTGATCTTTCTAATTCTAGCCCTTTTGGAGACCGGCATGTGCTTCGTGCCACCACTTTAGTCCACCGAGGTTTTCTTCCTTTCCTTTTTTTTAATGGTTTGGACTGCAAACTAGAGCTGAGGCTTTCAGCAACCTGGCAGTGTTTGTCAGATGCAGTTACTGCACCAAGTTTTAGAAAGGGCTTGTTACTAAATAAACTAGTGAAGTTAACAACTGAAGGGGTAATTGCATGAATACTGGATTCAGAATTCAAACTTGGCTTTTTTCCCAGGGAAGAGCTTATTCTTGGAATATCTATATGTGTAGTTTTTGAATCAGTTAGCTCTTTATCGATCCCTTTACATTCAATATTCATGCTGTGACCCACAGACCTATGACCAATGTTCAAGTGGGTACTTTCAGAAGGAAACTGGTTCTTGCCAACAGATTCAGAAATTTCTTCCATTAATTCTGTGGTAGGACTTAAAAGTAACGGATTGGGGGCCAATTGTGAAGAAGTTTCAGGGGGACTTCTGGTTAAAGGATTAACAGATACAGTAGGTGATGGGGAAGGGAGATTGCTTTCTCCTACTGCACTAAAAGGGGATTTTGCTGTAGATGCATCAGAAGCAGCTCCCATTTGAAAGTCCGGAGAAGTGCAATACACGGGAGGTTGCTTTTCATGCTTTGAGGTTTCATAAGGCCCCCTGTCACTGGATGAGAAACTGTCTTGCTGAATGCATGTTCCTTCATTAAACATTTCTTTCTCCAAATTAATGATTTCTTTTCGAACTGAGAACTTTTCCAATATGCTTTCTTTACTCTGCCGTATAACATTCTTCTCAAAAGTTTTGCTGGTGGTACTATCTTTCAGGGATTCAGGAAGTTCCTGACTTTCATGACTACTAATGTTTGTACTACAAGAAGCCTTAAGTGGTTCCTGAGTGGGGAGCAGTGCTTCGGCTTTAAGGTTTATGGCATCTTTACTGACCAGTCCTGCCATAGAACAACTCACTAGTTTCTTTCCCATGTCCTTAGTAACTAATCCCATTGTTGAATTGGCTACAATCTTCTTTGCACAGTCCTTGGCCACCAGGCCGACAGTAGAACCCAACTTCTTGCCCAAGTCTTTATTAACCAGTCCGACCACAGTGCCGAGTCCTAACTTCTTTCCAGATTCCTTATTCACTAAACCTGGAACAATACCAATTCCTAGCTTCTTTCCTGAATCCTTGCTCAGCAGTCCTACTGTAGTGACAGTCCCTGGCTTTCTGCCTAAGTCTTTATTAATGAATACCGCTGTAGTGCCAGCTCCTAATTTTTTCACAGAGTCCTTATTGACCAATCCTACTGTTGCATTAAACACTGGCTTTTTCCCAGGATCTTTAGTTACCAATCCAACTGCTGTGCTGATAGCTGGTTTTTTTATTAAGTCCTTATGTATTATTCCAGCTACAGAGCCAACACCTGCTTTCCTGATCAAATCCTTGCTAACCAGTCCTGCAGTAGTGCCAGTTCCTAACTTCTTCGGTTTAGTCTTGGAAGACTTAGAGGGAGGACAAGTTGCAATGAGCTGTGCCAACTTTTCTGTTACACTCGTTCCTCCATTAAGTAATGCTCTGTCCTTTAAATCAGGATCCCGGCTACCAACAAGAGTAGATGATGCCGCATTAATGTAATCTGTCATTTCTGAGTGTACTGGAGAAAGCTTCTTAGACAAAGGACTGTTTTCTCCCTGTGAATGAAGATGGATGCTCTCTTCAGATTGGCATTCAACGGCTGCAACATCACCTGTTTTCTTGTATAACTTTGAAGGGTCCTAAAATTTGAACAAGAAAAAGGATTCAGAGAGAGTAAACCTATCCCTTCAGGTTAGCATTACAAGTGAACAAACCAACTGATCACATATCAGATAAAAGGTAGGCAACAGTGCTTTTTGAAAAAAAACCTGATGAATGTTACACTGTGCCACAGGATGTGAGTTCCCCTGCTGCTGTCAGAGGCTAGCAAAATGTTATCTTTGTTGACTTCCAAGCTACCATATAAACCTATGTATTACTCAGTATTTAGAAATATCCCTATTATTTTTTGACATTGTTTTAAAAAGGCAAATTACCAGTCTATTCTTACTTTACTTTAAACTGAATACACATTAGCACACAAATACACTGTTTTTGAAAAGAGAAATACTGTTACAATATCCCATGGTCCTCTTTTAAAATAATTGATCACAGCCTACCTCCTTCATTGATTTCAAAGATTTCCAACCAGCACTGTACGACCCCACCCACTTCCACTCCTTTAGCTCACTCTCACTTACGGTCTTGAATGAGTAGTCACTGCAGTTCCCTCTTAGGTGACAAGAATAATAAGGACCATGAAATACATTTGTATTTTCTTTAGAATGTATTTTATATAACATTTCAGGAAATAACTTTTAAGTCATTAACATAAATTGTTATCCAGTTCATGAATCCTCACCATATACTTTACAAGTGAATTTGTTACTTCACAGAGCAATCTGTTTTACTTTTAGATAGCAACTGAAGAGTTGTCTTCTGGGACGCTGGGTGGCTTAGTCAGTTAGGTGTCTGCCTTCGGCTCAGGTCATGAGCCCAGGATCCCAGCGTCCTGGGATTGAGCCCTGCATCAGGTTCCTGGCTCAGTGGGGAGCCAGCTTCTCCCTCTCCCTCTGCCTATTGCTTCCCCTGCTTATGCTCTCTCTCTCTCTGTCAAATAAATAAATAAAATCTTAAAAAAAAAAAAGAGTTCTTTTTTCCAGTTCTTTTTTCCTTCAGCATAGTTTTTTTTTTTTTAACAATTGAAGTATAGTTGACAAACTTCTTGTTAACCATGAAATAGAAAGACTTGAACAAATGGAAAGATATGTGTTTGTGGATAAGAAGAAATAAAGATGATAATTTTTCCCTAAACAAATCTATAAATTTAACGCTATCCCAATAAAAATACCACCAAGATTTCTTTCAGGAATAAGAAAAATTATCACATTCATTGGAAAAAAAAAGACAAGCAAGAATAGCTAGCAAAATCTAAAAAGAAGAAAAAGTAGGGGCGCCTGGGTGGCTCAGCTGCCTAAATGTCTGACTCTTAATTTCAGCTCGGGTCAGGACCCAGAGTTGTGAAATCAAGCCCCGCACGTGTGGAGCTGCTTAAGATTCTCTACCCCTCTGCCCCCCAACCCAAACATAAGAAGAAAAGCAAGGGGATAACTGTATCAAATGTTTTTAAAGCTTCTATCATGAAAACAGTATGGAACTGACACATGAAAAGACAAAAGAACCAATGGAACAGGGCGAAGCAACAAAACCCAAACTCAAGCACCCAGACATGAGCTCTGTGTAACGTGGCGTGACCCCTACAGCAGGGGACAGGTGAGAACTGGGAGACTACCACCTACACAAACCGGGCCTGTGACCAAGGAATCCCACCGCGGGAGACATATTCCAAGACACACTGGCAGGAACAGAATGGCACAGGAAGCTGCAAAATGCACCACTATGTTTTAAGATTTTATTTTTAAGTAATCTCTATACCCTGCAGGGGGCTTGAACTCACAATCCTGAGACCAAGAGTCACGTGCTACCCTGAATGAGCCAGCCAGGTGCTCCTACCACTATTTTAACAGCAAATCCCTAAAATGATTACCTACAGGAGAGTAGCTGAATAAACCAAAGTAAGCGGTTTCACATCTTTTCTGATCATTTTCTGATAGCCGCGATTCAGTTTCTCAATACTCCTCTTTACATTGTGGCAACTGAAGTAGAACACACCACCACCAATAGTTAATGAAATCAGAATTAAGGGAACTTAATTATCTCTTTTGAACTAGACTCTTACAATTTTGCTCACGAGGAAACAGACTTTTTTTGACAGTCTTCTGTACAACTTATGTTAAGCTTGTAAATTAAAGAAGCCTCTTACATCTTCTTCCCATTCTATTAAAAAACAATATTCTCATTCTGTACTTTCACAGTTACTTTTCAAAACATAAAGATTAAGAGGCTTTATTATTTTAAGAATTTTAAAATATATTTGTATCTGAAAACTACATCATTTCCAATTTTAAAACTGACCTAAATCTGTCTTGTATAAACTATGACTATGTGCAATAACATGAATAAAGCTTACAGTAGTGAATGGAGGGAGCCACTGTATATTATACAATTCCATTCATATTAGGTTCACAAGCAGGAATTACTAGTTATAATATTAAAGTCAGGAAAACTGTCACCACCGGTACGAGGTAGTATAGGAAAGGAGCGTGAGGAGGGCTTACCGGGTGCTGGCAATGTTTTCTCTCTTAATCTGAATGCTGGCTAAATGGGGTGTTTGGGTTTGTGAAAATTCACTGAGCTGTCACACTTATGAATTAAATGTATTTATACTTCAATAAAAAAGTTATTTAAAAAAAATCTGCCTAAAAGTAGTAATATATATACAACTCCCATAAGCTGCTAAAGGACAGGAGTTGAATCTGGATTTTCATCTCTGTCAGAAATATAGATCTCCAATTAACTAAAATCAGCCTAAGGCTGTATCCCACATTAAATGGTCAATGACTAAAGAAAAGAAGAAATCAAGGACAAACAGAAACTAAAAGAATTTGAGATCACCAAACCAGCCCTAAAAGAAATATTGAAAGGGGGGCCTCTAAGCAAAGAGAGAGCCAAAAAGCAACATACACAGAAAGGAACAGAGACAATATACAGTAACAGTCACCTTATAGGCAATAAATACAATGGCACTAAATTTGTATCTTTCAAGAGTTACCCTGAATGTAAATGGGCTAAATGCCCCAAACAAAAGACAAAATGTATCAGATTGGAAAAAAAAGCAAGAACCATCGATATGCTGTCTGCAAGAGACTCATTTTAGACCCAAAGACACCTCCAGGTTTAAAGTGAGGGGGTGGAAAACCATTCACCATGCCAACGGACATCAAAAGAAAGCTGGGGTGGCAATCCTTATAACAGACAAATTAGATTTTAAAACCAAAGACTATAATAAAAGATGAGGAAAGACAATGTAACATACTTAAAGGGTCTATCCAGCAAGAAGATCTAACAACTGTAAATATCTATGCCCCTTAACATAGGAGCAGCGAATTATACAAGCCAATTAATAACAAAATCAAAGAAACATATAGAAAATAATACAATAATAGAAGGGGACTTTAACACCCCCTCACTGAAATGGACAGATCATCTAAGCAAAAAATCAACAAGGAAATAAGGGCTTTAAATGACACACTGGACCAGATGGACTTCACAAATATATTCAGAACATTCCATCCCAAAGCAACAGAATACACATTCTTCTCTAGTGCCCATGGAACATCCTCCAGAATAGATCACATCCTGGGTCACAAATCAGGTCTTAACTGGTACCAAAAGATTGGGATCATTCCCTGCATATTTTTGGACCACAATGCTTTGAAACTTGAACTCAATTACAAGAGGAAAGTTGGAGAGAACTCAAATACATGGAGGCTAAAGAGCATCCTACTAAAGAATGAATGGGTCGGAGAGCCTGGGTAGCTCAGTTGTTAAGCGTCTACCTTTGGCTCAGGTCATGATACCAGGGTCCTGGGATCAAGCCTCGCATCGGGCTCCCTTCTCCGCGGGAAGCCTGCTTCTCCCTCTCCCACTCCCCCCCTGCTTGTGTTCCCTGTATTGCCGTCTCTCTCTCTCTGTCAAATAAATAAATAAAAATCTTAAAAAAAAAAATGGGTCAACCAGGAAATTAAAGAAGAATTAAAAAATTCATGGAAACAAATGAAAGTGAAAACAACTGCTCAAAATTTTTCGGATGCAGCCCAGGCTGCATAAGAGGAAAGTATATAGCAAAACAAGCCTTTCTCAAGAAGCAAGAAAGGTCTCAAATACACAACTTAACCCTACACCTAAAGGAGCTGGAGAAAGAAGAGCAAATAAAGCCTAAACCCAGCAGGTGAAGGGATATAATAAAGATCAGAGCAGAAATCAATGAAATAGAAACCAAAAGAACAGTAGAACTGATCAACAAAATTAGGAACTGGTTCCTTGAAAGAATTAATAAGATTGACAAACCCCTGGCCAGACTTATCAAAAAGAAAAGAGAAAGGGGGCGCCTGGGTGGCTCAGTTGGTTAAGCGACTGCCTTCGGCTCAGGTCATGATCCTGGAGTCCCAGGATCGAGTCCCGCATCGGGCTCCCTGCTCGGCAGGGAGTCTGCTTCTCCCTCTGACCCTCTGACCCTCTTCCCTCTCGTGCTTTCTATCTCTCGTTCTCTCTGTCTCTCAAATAAATAAATATAATCTTTAAAAAAAAAAAAAAGAAAAGAGAAAGGACCCAAATAAATAAAATCATGAATGAAAGAGGAGAGATCACAACCAATGCTGAAGAAATACAAACAATTACAAGAACATATTATGAGCAACTACATGCCAGCAAATTAGATAATCTGGAAGAAATGGATGCATTCCTAGAGACTATAAACTAACAAAACTGAACCAGGAAGAGATAGAAAACCTGAATAGACCCCATAACCAGCAAAGGAAATTGAAGTAGTTATCAAAAATCTCCCAACAAACAAGAGCCCAGGGCCAGATGGCCCAGGGGAATTCTACCAAACATTTAAAGAATTAATACCTTTTCTTCTAAAATTGTTCCAAAAAACAGAAATAGAAGGAAAACTTCCAAACTTATTTTATGAGGCCAGCATTACCTTGATCCCAAAAGCAGACAAAGACCCCATCAAAAAGGAGAATTACAGACCAATATCCCTGATGAGCATGGATGCAAATATTCTCACCAAAAT